GGCTCCGCTGGCGCTCCGCGGGCCCGGCCCCCGTCCGAGATGCGCGCAGGGCTCGGGAGGCGGAACCAGCCCCGAGGGGTTTCGATGGAGGGTGATGCTCACGGGGAAGGGATGGGCCGAGGGAACTTTGTGAAAGGCTCTGAAGGAAAAGCTGTGTCCCCAAGTGACGTGTTTGGGAGTGAAGGAGTGCGACATCTGCTCTTCGGTGGGGCAGGAGAGGGGATGGAGGCTGGAAGCACCTGTGGCCACTTACCAAACAAAGCCAAAATGCCCAAATCTAAATCCTTTATTGGTGAAATACTCCTATATACATTCACTTTTTATTAATATTCATCACCCCCTTCCACTTGCTCATTCCCAGTTCCTGCTCTGGCAGAACTGTGTACGTTTTGGGTGTGACACTGTGTGTTATCTTTGGGAGTGTGGCACAGGTTGTAAATCTCACACAGTCACGATCCTGCTGAAAAGCACAGCCTGTGCTCATGGATCTGCCAAATCCATGAGTGCTTGGCACTGATCCCTTGGACACGTTGGCTCCACAGTAAAATCTTATTTCCGTGCTCTTATCCTCCTGCTTTTCTTTTGTGATGATAATTAAATGGCTATTTAATTGCCCAAACTGCCTGTAAAATGAAATTATTGAAAATTCTGACATTTATTTTCCATATTCATCACTGGATCATAGCAAAAAATGAGGCAAATAAATGTGGAGAAGCTTCAGCTGCTGGAAGAAAACATAACACCATTTGGCTTTTTTTGGGGGTATAATTTTCCTTTTGACCTTCACAGGTCACTCATGAAGAGCAGCAGTGACTCAGTGTGGATTTTCTGAGACCTCCAGGTGTCTCCTGAGATGTGTGTCATGTTTGCAAATGATTTCTCTGCTGATGGAGGGTGTTAAATCCCTGCTGCACTGACACCAGCAGGACCCTTTGCCAGAAGGAGTGGGAGTGAATGTGGGCTGGTTGCCTCATCCTTCTGCGTAAAAGAAGTTCTCTGGGTAAAAATGGTCCCTGCAAAGCCTGAGTGATATTTCTGAATTAATTTGTATCTAACAAATCCTTCAGAAATAGAAGGAAGTGTCCTTGAAGTGTGAGGTTTAAATTTTATGGTTAGGTACACTTATATCCTTATTAAAATCCTGCTAAAGTAATTGCTTTAAAACAGTAGAACATGATGAAGTTTAATTCAGCATTATAAACTACTACAAAAGATTAGCTGGAAACTGAACTTGAGCTGTGATTTTCTGCAAAACAGCTGCAGGAAGAGGTGTGAGTCTTTCCTTATTACAACTCTTTGAGGAGACCATCTAGGATTTACTTTGAGTAGTTTTGCAAACTCTTTCCTGATTTTCTAGAACCTGATGTGGTGGTAAGAAGGCAGGAAGCTTTGGCAGCAGCTCGCCTCAGGATGCAAGAGGAATTGAATGCACAAGCAGAAAAATACAAAGAAAAACAAAGACAGGTACCCAGAGAGCATTTCTTCCTTTATCTCATAAATTTGTCATCAAGCACTTTGCTGCTGTAAAAGACAGCAGCAAATTGTAATTGTGAGCCAGGGTCACTGTGGGCCTGGTGTTCATTTTTTCACAGGTAAATCTGTACCTGCAGGAGCTTTGTGGTGTGTGCAGTGTTTGGCTGGCCTTGAAATTAACTGTGCCACAGCACATGTGTGTTTTGTGCTCTTAAAGGCAAATATAAGTGTTAGAAATGTAGCTTTGTAGCTACAGTTTGTAGCTGATGCTTCAAGTAATATTGGCATTAAAAACAAAGGAAGAATCCTTTCTTTGTGCTGTAGAACTCCAGGTTGTGCATTAAATTACTCTAATATGCTTTACTCAGTTCTTTTTATAGACTCAGGGTTTAAACTTGCCACTTGGTTTTGTTTTACCTTCAAAATCTTTTAAAGCATCAAGTGGCCAAAAGAAGCTGCAGATTCAGTTAGTACATCCTGAGGAGGGGGAGAGATGTGGCTGTATAAAAAGAGTAAATTCTTCCATAATCTCAGACATAACTGCATCAGATAAATACAGTTTGAGGAGTCTGTTGTAGCTGTTTCTGGGGATTCTGTTAGCTCTGAAATCTTAGTTTTAAGATGAGAACTGAGATTAAGCCTGTGTCCTGGATTTGTTCTGTAGCTGGAGGAGGAGCGGCGAAGGCAGAAGATCGCCATGTGGGAGAGTATGCAAGAGGGAAAAAGCTACAAAGGAAACCTGAAACTGAATCAGGTAACAGCCATGTTCATCAGGTCACACTTGTGTTCCTGTGATTAAGGGAGCTGAAATTCAGATTGAGTAACCTTTTGCTTTTCTGAACAGCAGGAAGCAGAATCTGGTGCCTCTTCTGCCTCAGCAGTCCCGAAATCTAAACCAAACAAAAAGCCTTTGAGAGGAGGTGGTGAGTATGGAATCCTTCAGACACTCTGAGCTTGGAACAGGGCATTTTTCCAGCTGTATCTATGGGCTCTGTACATACTTTTTGTCTTTTTCAAGGAAGAAACAAAACGTTCCTTACAAACAAGCTCTTTATCTCTGATCAACTGGACGGCTCTGTCCTTTGTGCAAAAGCTGGCAGGAAGTTTTGGGAGTGGTTTTACCTGGGAAAAGAATGTGCCAGGTTTTTTTTGTAAATATCCTTTGGCATAATTTACTGAGATTTTTGTCACTCAGAATTAGAGATTCTTACGGTAGTTCTGGGATCCTTCCCCCATTATTCTAGAAGTTCAGTAATTTAGTATCTGGTCTGTCTTTAAAGCACCTGTAGTACTGACTAAATGCAGGAAGAGGGTATTTTAATGTGTATTATGTAGATTCAGACAATGAAAGACAATATTATGTAAAATGTGATCTTATTTTTCATATACCACAGTGATGATCTATTGAATATCTAAATCCTGTTATAAACTCTTAACAACACTCACAAAGCACCAGAAGGTCTCACTGTTAAACTCAGTTACCTACTGGAACCATCTTGATGGATGAAGTGCTTTCTTTGGCTTCACACTGCCCATGTCAGGCTCACTGGCCATGCAGGCAGTCTGCTTCCTCTCCTCTCAGCCCAATAGCCCTTGCCATACCTGCAGGTGCTAATTTGGGTGTATTTTAATAACAATTTTCCATGGTGGAGTGGATCATCCGGACAGCCTCAATCAGGCTGAAAAGGAGGCCCACTTAGGGTGCAGTGCTGAGTGACTTAGGTGTATAAAATTTGTGGATTCTTGATTAAACATACTAAACCTCAATAACAGTGCTGGGATTTCTGCTTTGAGTATTTTTCCTGGCATTTGAAGGAATCAAATAGATTGATTAATCTTAGGTTGTTGATTATGAGGGTGTGATGTCTGATGCTGTCAGCTATCTTTGGTATCTCTGTCATGGGATATTTACCTCCCTGGGGGATGAGAAATGCAGGGGTCAGCTGTGCTGAGAGCCAGGATCAGGACAGCTGGGTTTGGGCACAGTTCCACCTGCTACCTGTCCTAGTTTAATCCTCAGCAAAGTCCTTGCTTAAGTAACCAATTACAGAATTAGAGATTTCAGATCTCCTGAGGTAGATCAGCATGAAGTGAAAGAACCATCTGTGCTGCTCAGCTGCTCAATTAAGCTAGAAAGCAAAACTTGGCTTTGGTATGAGAAAAACAAATTTCAAAGATGAAGGTGATGCTGGGAGTTTCAGTGGAACAGGTTCCTTTTAAATCCCCTCGTTAGCAGTGCTGCTAGGATTTGAGTTCTTAGGTTTGTGCAGAAAAAATTGAAGATGTTTGCCAAGTTGTGACTTTCTGAGTGTGTTCTCCTGACATGAAGTTTCCCATGGTTACAGCATTAGGATGTTCAGCTAAAGTGTATTTGCCTTACTGCCTATGCTTGCCTTTCAAACACTTTAAAAAAATACTTTGCAGTGTTAATGAGTGGATTTACCTTTTGACCTTCAGAGTATTCCTTGCAGGACTGGAATAAAGGATTGTTTTAAGTCCCTGACTGTTTGGGCTCTTGCAGAGCAGATACTCTACAGAGTTTACTGTAAGAGCTGCTGTTGCTGCTCTGTTCATCCTGCAGAGCAGCACTGCAGCTTGAGTGCAGACTTAGAAAAATTAAATGGTAATTAATTTCAATTTTATTTAATCCAAATTGATCAAATTAAAACACAAGTGCTTTGCAATAGCTTTTAAAGAAATAAACCCTCTCAAGTCTGGATGTTTTCTGTGCTTCCATTTTCCCTAAAATTCTCTGTGTGTGAAGTATGAGCAAGGTGTAAATATTATGAGATCTGTTTTTGGTGTTCCTTGTGTGCTGGTGGAGGGCTGTGGAGGATGAATATTAACAGGGTGGATTTCTCCTGTGTGTTCCAGGCTATAACCCCCTGTCTGGAGAAGGAGGAGGGACGTGCTCCTGGAGGCCCGGCCGGCGGGGCCCGTCCGCAGGTGGATGAGGCTAACGTCCCTGGTGTCCCCTGGTCTGATCCCAGGCCTGATCCCACCCCTGTCCCACTGCCTGCAGCTGGCCTGTCACAGCCACTCCTCTGGGGCTGCTTTAGTGCACTTGGTAACTTAAAACAGTTCTTTGTTCTATTTACACCGCTTCCAAATTGTAACACATTGGCTGCTCCTAAACCAGAAGAATAGCTGATCCTCTTAGAGAGGGCAAAGAAAGAAGCAATTGCAATATAATCAGTTAATTTTCACTCTCCTGTAGAGAGGGAGCATAGTGTCCAGCCAAGGGGATTTACCTGGGATTGTGAGATCTGGGCTTTCTGGCAAATTTAGTTATCTGTGCTCACTTTACCTCTGTAAGATGAGGATATTTACCATCCTCAGACATGTTACCAGATTTATCTTCCAGCTAAACACAGTCATTTAGAGAGGATGGATATTATTGTTGGCAGACACCTTGAATTTAGGCAGAGGGACTTTCAGAAAAAGCACAGGTGATCTGACAAACGCCACGGATTTGCACTGAAGGCCAGTTATTGCAGAAGAGCCTCTGTGACAAGCCAGCTTGAATGATGTTTTCCTTATAAATGGTAAACAAACCAGTGAGGATTACTGATGCTAGACAGGAGATGGGGATTCTTGCTATTACGTTTTCTTTCTTTTTTTTATTTCAACTGCTTTGTAAAAACAACACACTATTAATATTAAATATAACTGCAAACATCACAAATCTAGTATTTACAGCCTCGTGGTTTTCTACAGCATCTTTTTTATAGAAGGCATTTGTTCCAGTGCAATAAATGTGTATAAAGCAAGGTGGGAGATGAAGTGACCCTGCAGCACCAAAGCTGAGGGTGATGTGTGCTGAGCAGGGCTCTGGCCAGTGAGTGTCCCACTGGCAAGTGAGGGGTGCAAGGAGTATGTGCTGTTCATCCTTCTGGTGTATGTCCAGCACTGAGGACAGAAAACAACTGGTCATCATAACCAAACTTTCCAAGCATCCCATCCCCTTGATTTTCTCTCTAAAATGCAACAGACAAATGAAATCCAGGTTGTCTTTGGAGTGAAATAATTGCTGTTGGCCTAGGATAAGTGTCCCTGAGTCCAATTGCTGCTCCTGAGCTGGTCTGTGGGCATTGGGGTAGGGAGCAGTAGATCCTTAGGGCTGTTTGAGCACTTGTTTCTGAATATTTACTCTTGGAATATTTGTACTTATCAATAGATAGGAGTGTCAGCTTTGTATACACTGTTTATATGCATGTTGAAATTTTTCTTGACTAGAAATGCAGCAGGAACTTAGAGAGTTTTAAAGTTGATAATGAAATTGAAAGGCCAAGAACCTTTTGTTTTAGACACAACAAAGTGTTTGGTCACGTGTGCAGGAAGATGAAATGAGGCTGTTGATGTTCCTATGGAAATTCATTCAGAGGCCAGTGTATGTAACTTCAGGTTTTAATCCTGAATTTCATAAAGCAAAAAGAAATAGAGGTGGGGAAGGATCTTTTCAAGATCTGAAGAGGGTTCCTCAGGAAAGAGGACTAAGTTGTAATGCCTTAGGGAACATTTTTCCCCTTGTGTTGGGGAAATGAGCAACAGACTGAGGTACTGTCTGCAGAAAAACAAATGGGGGAGGTTGTTTTAAAGAAGCAGAAATCCTTGTGTTCATAAAATAGTCAGGGATGGGTTTATTCAGAAAAATATTTGCAAAATAAATAAGCAGGTCTTAACTGACCATATGCTAATCTTTCTCTGTGTCTCAAGACTTGCTTCTGGCTAGGACTAGGGATATGGCTTTTTGCCCAATTCTAAGGTTTAATAGGACATGTCAAGTGAAAATGAAAAGAAATATGTATTTCTGGAAGCTTCAACCTTTTTTGTCTTTTTTTTTAAATCCTCAAGTTCCTGAGTTTTTTTTTAGTCTGACACTTCTAAGCTATTGAACAGGGTGGGAGGACAAACCTCATTCATAAAACTTTTCTTTTGGCTCACAACCTGCACAAGAGGGAAGGGTTTTTCCTCTGACTTCAAATGGAAAGCTCTCCCCTGACCACAAGCATTATGGAAAGGTGTTTGCTTGCTGCTTCATAGCTCAGGAGTGAAGCATGCAGAAAGCATTAGGTGAAAGTGAACTATTTAATGAATCCATTGTTCCTGGCTTGGTATGAATTCCCAAGAACTTGAATTATGAAAGATCATATTAAAAAGCCTTCAGGAGATTTTTTTTTTCCCCCCCACTAGAGCAGTTATGCAAGAAGCCTTTTGCTTTACTCATGCGGATATTCTGGAAATATCTCTATCTGGAAAAAGCTGGGTAATAAGCTATTTAACTGCTGTATAATAGTATTTAACCACTGAAGAATAATCTGGTTTGGGTGTTAAAAAATCCAAAAATCAAGCAAACATTCAGAGGCACAAAAAATTCTGAAGATGTTACTTGCTTGTGAAGTGCAGCTAAGTATTTTTTTGTTGCTTTTTTGATGATTTATATGCTGGAGGAGCAGAGTTTTTTATTTTCTTTAAATTGCAGATGAGATCTGGTTTGTGCGTAGTTCTCTTAACTATTCATCAGGAGATCCGGAGCACTGGAGTTAAAACTGAACAAAACAACCCACAATGTCAGACTCATAAAAATTATTTGGCTTTATTTGTGTCTTTAAAAAACATGGTGAAATGAGGGGAAGATTTTAAGAGTGATACTGCATACTTGGGTGTTTAAAAAATACCTTTCTTATGCTGGAAATTTTTAATAACAAACAGAAGAGAGAGTTGGGGGAGTGAGGGCAATGGGGGACTCTGTCAGCAGAGCTGTTCCCAGGTGTTCCAGAGTTATCTGTTTCTCAATCAAAATTCAGTGTGAATGAAAATTATAATTGCACCTGTATCTGCAAGGAACTGCTGTCCTTGCAAAATCAGAGTGCTGGTGTGAAATGCCAGTACTTACAAATCTCATCTGTGTTTTATGCAGCTCTGTACTGAGTTTTATTCTGACTCAAAATTCAAGGAGTTGGGCTGTTGTGTAGTGGCTCTCTACTCAGACTCTGCTGATACTCAGCTCAGTTGTTTAGATTGTTTTTTGGGTTTTTTTTTTGCAGGGGGAGAGGTGTGTCTTATTCCCCTCCCTAGAAGATGACTTTGCATTCCAGAGTTCTGTGAAGGGGGATGGCATCCAGCCTGAGGGTCTCCTGTACGTTTCACCAGCAGCCCTGTTGTTACTGGCTGCATTTAAATCCTTATAGTGCTCTTCTTTCTGCCTCCTGCTCAAGCAGGCAGCTCCCTTCTTGTGCAGTTGCAAGCTTGGCTGCACATCAGCACCCATCTCAGCATCAGATCCACCTTCTGGATGAATTTTGTCCTTACACAGGCTAAAAAGTGGCACCTTTTCAGGGGTCAGTTTAGCCCCAGTGAGGCTCAGCGTATTTCTGTCCCTGCTATAGCTGAACAGTGAAACGATGCAATTTCCAGCTGTAAAAAAAGAAAAAGCTGGTCTAGACTTGGATGGGCTGAAGCTTTGGGGTTTTTTTTTTGGTTTTTTTTTTTTTTTTTCTTCCCTCCTGTGTGGAATGAAAGCTTGGCTTTTGGAACAGCTCTGCAACCACAAAGGAAAAGCACACGGCTGCTGGCTGGGTGGTGTCCTGGCCCCTGCGCTGCTGTAGCTGATTTTTGTGGGAGCTTCCAAGGCAGCCTGACACACACCCTGCCCATATTCCCAGCTCCAGAGCCAGCGACTTCAAAACCTTCTGTTGTTCTTTTTTTTATGAGAAACCGATGTCTTCAGTGCAATAGGTGCCCTCAGCTCAGCTTTGGTGGAGAAAATACACATTTCTTGTTGAAGGTTTCTGTGGCAAGGCACTGGCAGGGAGGCAGGTGCTGTTCTTGTGTACTGATTACTGTGATTTTATTTTGAAGTGCACACCTGCTAAAAAGCACTTTCAGCACAGAGCAAGATCTCCACTGGTGAATTTACAATTTCACTCCTTCCTCTACCATAGATTCTTTCTGTGTGGTGGTTACTTAGCTGAGCTTCCAAGCTGCTTCTGTGGGTAACAATCGTGGAGGGAGGCAGGGAAAAGAACTTAGAAAATTTTATTTAAAGAGAATAGAGGGCAAATGGATACCCTGAAATACCTGGCATTTAAGTCTAGTTCTAGTACCCTGCATTAAAATGGGGAGTTACTGTCAGCTTGGCCTAAAAGATGCACTTTGAAAAATGCAAAAAAACCACAGGTTATACAGCTTTACTTCATCACATACTGGGAGGGGTCAACACCACCTGTGAATTCCATTTATTGGGCAATGTAACTGCCACTTCTTTAGGTGTTCTGCTTTTTAGGCTCTGACATCTTGAGGTTCTCTTTTTAAGCACATTCTGGGCTTTTCCAGTGCGGTCCTGAGCCGGCTGTGGCATCACCGCGTTCAAACGCCGGTGCCCTGGTCGCAGCCGGGCGGCGGCGGAGCCGAGCGGGGTTTTCCCGGGGCGCTCCCGGCGCGGCCGCTGCGCTGCGCGGCGGGGCCGGGCGGTGGCGCTGTCGGGCCGGCTCCGGCAGCGAGCGCGGGCGCTCCGGGGCGAGTCCCTGACCGGAGCAGCATGGGCAGGGGGAAAAACAACAAAAAAACAAAACAAAACAAAACAACCGAACAAAAAGCCCCCAAACCAAAGCACAGCCCCCCCCAAAAAAACAACAACAAAACAAAACAAAACAAAACAAAACAACCGAACAAAAACCCCCCAAACCAAAGCACAGCCCCCCCCAAAAAAAACAAAAACAAAACAACCAACCAAACAAAAACCCCCCAAAACCAAAACACA